AATGAAAAAATCAGTAAAATTTCTTACTTTGATTGATTAAGTCATATCACATTTAAAAATTGGTTACATAAGTCATTCTAACCTCAACAAAGTTACATTAACCAACTAGTAAAAGTACGATCATTTATTTATTTATTTATAAAAAAGTAAGGTTTTTACTCATTTAAAATATGAAAGTTTAATGATTTTTTTTTTTGAAAATGAGAAATTTTAATGATTTTTTTTTTTAAATAAATAATTTAAAGATTAAACAAATTATTTTTAACCATCGAAATTACAGGCGTCCGTTAAAAGGATGATGGTGGAAGGAGTAACAGCGGTTGAGGAAGGTGGCACGTCCACGATAACACGTCCACGGTAAGGACGTGGGTGATGATGATGTCACGTCACTTATTAAACGCATCGCCTTCACCTACATTTTCCCTCCAAACAAATCCATATCTCTCCTCCTTTTTTGAGGGAATATTTAAAGTTATTTTATTATTAAACAAAGATAAAGATTGAAATTTAATTTAATTTTTTATTAGAAATTTTTTTATATGATTTTTTAATTTATTTTTTTATTTTAATTTTTATACAAATAATAATTAAATATTTTTGTTAGAATTTAATGATTATCATAATTATATTTTATATTTAATATGAGATCTTATATTCTATTTGATTATGTTTATCTGTACTTAGTTACACGAATTCAAACATAAAAGTTTAATAAATTGTATTTACGTATAATTTACTTATAATCTTGAATTTTAAATAATATGCATAATAAACTATACTTAATGCATAAAAATGATTTTTAAAAGTTTTTGTCAAATGATTTATAATATAATATAGATGTATGAATATATTGGTGTGAGTTAAAATATAGTAGAATGGTATTCGTGTAATGTAGCAAGATACATCTTGATTTTGATGTTTTTGTAATACTTATTTTTCTCAGTCGATGTTATAGTACGGGTTTATGTGGTTTTGAGAAAACGATAATGTTTTTATTTTTGAATAATATATATATATATATATATATATATAAAGATATCATAAAAATTTTAAAAAATATTTATATTAGTACCAAACTAACAATTAAATTTTTTTTTTTCCGTGTAATTTGTTTAATTTTTTTATT